GTCTTCTTGGCCTGGTGTTAAGATTTGACTTTTACAAGAATGACACCCAGCCGAGGCCGAAGAAACATCTGAGAATGTAACAAGTCCTGCTGCTGGAACTTACCAAGACTACTATTGCAGATGACGCAGAATTGTGTACATTCTGCAAGATCTCCCTGCCATCCCAACCAAGTTGCGAAAGCACTGAAATAGTTCTTTGGATCAAAAATGTTAATTCGTTTTTCAAAGTTTCTCCCTATTATACTTCTATCGGCTGTTAAGTCCAGGTTTGACTAGCAAACAGAGATTGTGGTAGGTATTTATGTAATATGAAGAGAAGCCTAGGTTCGAAGTATAATGATGCTTACATATCTTTCATTACGTTCGAAAAGGAGGGTGGAAGGGATTTGTAAATTGGCCTCATCGGATATCGAAGAAGGGTTGCCTTGGATTTGTGACTGTTGGATTGTGCGAAGAAGACCTCGGCCCCTCGTCCTACCACCTCAATCCAGCCGTTCTGAGCTTTCGTCCGTTATGTGATGGACATCCTCACAACCAGAAACAATTAATTACGCACGATTGCTAAATAAAACATTAAACACCATCCGACAAGCACCTTTCTTGTTTTACAGTTTTTTGTTGATTTTTCGTAAATAATGGTTTCTGGCTCTGATGATGCCTATTACATGATGGATGAAAGGTTGACACAGATTCATCGGTGTCGCAACCTGGAGGTCACAAGTTCAAGGCAACCCTCCTTCCTCGTCCGGTGGGGCCAATTTAATAATCCCTCAAACTCGTCTTTCAAACGGAATGAAAGGTGTGTCAGCATTTCTTTAATATTTTTTGAGAAACTGAAAAGAGATGGTCTATGAAAGCGGCAAAGTCTGTCGAGACCACTGACTTTGACGGTGCCTTAAACGAGTTACAGAGTAAACAGCAAATTTATCCTTGTTGGTATCCCTCCAAAGGGACTGTTCAGTTAATCCGCCTTTGAATTTCACATAGTCTTGCTTTCCCAAAAAGGTGTTCTCATTCCAGCTGGATTGGACTGCAGTTTCGTCTTCGTC